GAATCCTTTACAACGGTTATTATGATTATACATTGTACTGACTATATCTTCTTAACGGCTAAGAGCCAGGCTTTTAGCCAGGAATTAAAAACTGGCCGTCAAGAAGGCACGTTTTTCCATAAAATTATAAGAGATTAACTGAATTTTCCTTGTATTTCTTTCATAAATGGGCGTCCATAGAACGGCTGGACACCCTTCTGGCTAAAACCTTGCTAAGAGCCTACAGTTGATGAACAGTTATTGGATGAGGTTTTGTGTGACATCCCGAACAATCAAGGTCGAATTTAGTGTTATCAGCCTAGCCGAAGGTCGAGCTGATACGTCTTACCTTGATTATTCCTGATATCTCAAAAAACAAATTTAATAATTGTTTTATTATACATTGCTTTAATGAAATTAACGACAAACACATGATTGCGTGGAACATATTTTGACATTGTTCTTGGAAATAATGCATTGCGCTCGCAACCCACAGATTACTCACTAAGTAATCTGTTAGCAGATAACTAACTAATCTGTAGGTTGCACTGATTTCCAAACTTAATCTACATTATACTTACCGTCTTGTCACCGGCTAAGAGCGCAATGTTCTGCTGATATTCTTATAATCTACTTCCACTTCATGTCTAGTTAAAGCTTTTGATAATTGTAGTCCAGATTTGTCAATTTGGTTACAGTTGGAATATATCACGGTTGAGAGTGCAAGGCAAATTCCGATCATTATTAGCCTGCGTAGCAGGCGCTAGGAAATAAATGGGCGCAAGAAAAAACGCGCGCGCGAGAAGGAGACACGCGAGTCTCCCTCGCGTGCGCCCATTTACTTCCTAGCGCCTGCTACGCAGGCTAGATCATAATACGCTTCTGGGAAACTGCCCACCTACCCCTCCTCTAAGTCATCATTAACACTTATTTTTCACTGAGGGCAAAATGTTGGCTCAGAGGAGGGGTGAGCCTGCGTAGTAGGGCGGTTTTGGCTGGGCGTGCAAGCAAGCCAAGGTGGGGTCAGTGAAACTGTCAGGAGATTGGGCGGCTCAGTAGTGCGCCGGACAAAACTGCCATGCAACGCAGACTAGGGAGGGGTAGGTGGAAAATTTCCCAGAATCGTATAATGAACCGCAAATTCCGTTTGCAATCTGCGAGATGACCGTTGAAGAGGACTTTTAAGCATTTATATCAATTTCAAAGTAGTCGTTCACAGTGAGGGGAATTCGTGACCTCTTGTCTCCCCCACTGAACTTCCCAGTGTGATGGCATGCAAAGTTTCAACGTTCGGCTCATTATATACATGTGCCTTTCGACCGTAACACCACAATTCAGTCCCAGCACACATCGGCTTGCACTCTGGGCTGTTTAAATTGACTTTAATCCACCGTTGTACAGTTAGGCCGGGGACGTTGATTTGAAAATCCGGTAACTCTTTTCGTCGATTGTCACGTCTGCACTGACACTGCAATTCAATTCAGTTCAGGGAGTCATTAGTTTTAAGTAAAGACCGTATTGAGTTTCACCAGACATTTAGGAACCAGGCAGCTATAAAGCATTGCCCAAAACAGACAGTCCGACACATTCACACGCGTGAACGATCTGAGAGAAAAAAAAAGCGTTCTAACACTCGAAAATGGTTTTACAAACATTACTCGAGGCAAGTTACCAATGAGACCTATGGTATTGTGGTCTTAGCGCTATAGACCCCTCTTTAAGCCCAGCCCGTCGCTTCGACAACATACACCCTGCCCAAACATCAAGGTACTGAGTTTTAGAAGTATTAATTTAGGGCCAAAGATGATTGGTTGGTTAGCCTGCGACGTAGGCTATTGGTTGGTTTTCCGGGGTTCACTTTATCGTTAATTTATCTCAGTGCCCAAAAAACTGTTGAAAAGAAAAGAAACTAACCTTGGTTTCTTCTTAGTTTCTTTTGGCAACTGTACATGGATGAATTTTGTTCTTGCACCGGACAAACCAATGGCGACTAGAGGGTGATACAAACTGGCTCCCAAACTGAACGGTTGCTCTCCGATGTCTAGAACACTAAGCAGATCTCCAGCCCTGAGATTATACAATCGAAGGAAGTTGTCCTTACTACAGCAAACCAGCGATTCATCATCTAAGAACTTGCAGTCAACAATTGCAATGCCAATCTGGTCTCTAAGGAAGACGTGTAGTGTTTCTCCCGTATCTGCATTAAGTATATGCAGGCCATGCCCGTCGTAAAGAGTGTTCCACGTGACAACAAGATCACTTTTAGGAGAAAAGAGCATTTGTGGTTTAATCGCGATCCTTTTTCCAGTCCAGCACGTTCTTTCCCACAGAATTGCACCATTTTTCCATGAACTGACTGTAACCTTCTCCGTTGCAGTACAAAGTAACACCTGACTTGGATTACTACACACAACTGAAAGTAGACGTTCATTGAAATCTAAGAAGATCTCTAGCGATGAGACAATCATGCTGCTAGCACTGGTGACGTCCAAAAATTTGATGACGAAGTGCTGCCATGCGAGGTTCCCAGTCAGATCTGACAGAAAGACATGCGGCATAGTTGAATATAAACGGGCTATCCGTTCCTCTGAAATAGAAAAAACAACGTCACCTGGGGTAACCTCAGAGAGATACCGAAGAGAAGTGAACATGTCAAAGGTCCATAACTCTGCGCCGTCATCTTTTAAAAGTACTACACCATCCCTTGTTGGAAAGATGGAAACACAGCCGGGGAGTTCTATCCTGTCCAATACCTCGTGCTTTGACATTCTCAAAACAGTAACCAATGTTACGTTACTATTTGTGTCAAAAGAATCTTGAACAAACTCTGAAGTGGTGGAATAAATAGTATCTCTTTTAAGAGAACAGGCAATCGCTTTGACCTCTCCACCGTTTCGCGAATCAAACGCCACGTCAGTATTCAACATCGTGATGTATTTGGAAGCTGGGCTACCAACCAATGCTGACTAATCATCGAATCTGATGTAGGAGCCTGCATACAAAAAACTACTGGGGATTACTTTATCCACTTCTCTAAGCCAGTAGCAGCTCTTGTCCTGCATTATAAAATCCTTTAAGTCCAAAGTGCCTGACGAATCGCACGGCCATAATCTGAATGTTTTAGGATGAAGATGATCAAAATAGTGCTCATAATTAGAAGTTAAAATTGAGAACTCAGGTGGTCCATAAAAGAAGCCTTTATACGAGTCATGGTGTTTGCGGAAGGTAATAATATATTGCTCCCACCTTCCAAATATAGTACCAAGAAACCCGCAAACAAGAGTGTTCTTATCGGATGTGAAATGCATCAGCCCATATGACACCCCAAGACTTTCAGTATAAGGTATCGTCTGCAGCTGACATCAGTTAACTCGATCAAAAAGAAAAATTGCACCAGTCACCTGTACGTAGGAAAAAGCAACTACTGACCCATCTTCAGAAATGGTGAAAGAAAAAATTTCGTTTGCCCACGGACCAACAATGTCGTCGTCCAAAACATTTTTACCATCTTCCGTATTCCACAGGGCTAACCTATCAGGCTTATTTTGACAGTCAGTTAGAATTTCCTTCTTCTCCTTACAAAAGACGAAATTTGAGAACGTACAATCACTGTCAGGGAAAAGGCCTTCTTTGTCTCCAGTCAGTATGGAATAGCCATATCGGAGAGTCCCCGGGAGCACAAATTTCCCGCTTGGATGAAACGTTACAGAACGGTAGTAGGACAAAGAACGGCCTGCATTACGGTATGCGCTGTTGTCTGGATATCCAGAGTAGAACACTTTCTTCGTCAATGTTGGTCGAACCCATATCTCGTTGCCTGTCAGAAGAGACCACAAAGAGATAGTTCCATCTCGACATTCGCATACCAAGTAGTCCATTTCAGGTGAAACATCAAAACAAACGATTTTGTCTGAACAGTAAAATCGCGCCTTTTCAGCTCCCTTCTGTTCTTCTCTGTCTAAATTTTTCATGCAGGCTATTTGGGGCGTTGACGATTCAAGGATAATTGCTGCTGAAGACGACAATTCAGGAATCCCTTCGTTAATCAAACATTGGAAAAATAGATGAGGGTAATCAACCAAGATATAAGAGTGTTTTTTCAGAACACTAATGAGAGAGGTCACAACGAAATCTCTCTCCTCACTTAACAAACTGGAATTCTCAATGTGAAAACTATAAAGATCCTCTATGGCGATTGTGCTATTAACACAAAGTTTCCCATAAATAAGTTCCAGGTCCGTTGCGTATTTGTAGATCTGTTCTGTTGTTCTGCTGTTCTGCATGTGCTGGTTACCATGATGCAAAGCATATGTTTCAGTATTCGTAAACTGTCTGCCATGGACCCCTTTTCCCTTCATTCTCTCGAGTTCAGAAGCAGAAAGTTTAGAAAGGACGTCATGACCTTCTTTCTCGTCCACGGTGAAATCATGCTGTTCGTAGGGTGAGGATCCTATTAACCAGTCCTTGATTGACTTGTGAAAGAAGTGAAGACGACCCTCACGAACTGGTAACAGTGTAGAGATGCAAGATATTGCTTTGTTCACCTCTTTTCGCTGCGCAGTCAAAGATTTTCCTGCCAGGTTAAGAATTTTGGCAATGAATTCTACTGGTAATGGTTCCCTTGCAGCGGTCAATGCACACAGGAAACACAAAAAAGTTTCCTCATCTGTGTTAAGCGCTGTGCAAAGTTCATTCTCTAAACGTTTGAAATAGGACAAGTGAACGGATGAAATATGTGAAGGCAATACGCTTTTCAGCTGATCAGGGGTGAGAATTGAAACATTCTTTTGGATAAAATCCACTATAAAGTAAGCGTAAATAAACAGGCCTTCTGATTTCTTAACCAGCTCTTTCAAAAGAGTATCTTTATGTTCTTCAACGATTTGGTGGCTGAGCTGTATTTCAAACAAGGTTTGAATGTCATTTAAGTTCTCTTCTTGCTTTACAAGTTCGAGCTAACCGAGATTTACAGCGTTACGCAGATAATACGAGGAGAGACCTGCTCAACACTAGTTTTAAGATTAGGTTTGAGGAAGCATAGAAAAGTGGTTACTGATTACATGTAGAAGCTCATTGTGTCCTTGGTACTCGCTTTCATCAAGGCCATCTATGACTATTAGGGTGTTTCTTCCAGGATCTTGTACTGTGCTTAGAGGCTCTTTGAACAGCAACGCAAAAAGCTCTTTTACATCCATGTTGTTGAGGTCTTTACCCTGATTTCTTGACAGCTGTTCCACAAGGGCATCTTTGTAATTTGGTATCGCTTGACACAAGTGACAGGCCAAAGACTGGAGCATTAAACGTGGATCTCGATACCGTGAGTTGTCATGCTGACAAAAGTGGCTTCCTGACAATCTTCCAGCACTTTGCATTCTTTGCGAAACAACAGCGGAGATAACAGTCTTTCCCATCCCTGGATTTCCACTGATTACCATCACCCGATGTGGCGAGCTCTGGTCGTCTAACCAGTTTTCAATACTTTTGAAGATCCACTCACGAGTTCCTTCCTGGAATTTCTTTGCATGAAATTCTATGTCTCCTTTGAATTCGGACTTGACAAGAGTTCTCAGCACCTCATCTGCCTGCTCATCTGCTTGCGTCAAGCTTTTTACTTCCTGTTTCACTTCCATCTTTAAAGTGCTATCTTCAACTGTTTTACAGAGTCTTCGTTGCGTCTGGCGGATATCCGTCAGCTGTGTTATTATTTCCTGTTCACTGTCAGCCCACTCAATTAAGACATCAAGGTAATCTTGCTCTCCACCCTGCTCTGCCTTCAGTCTGTCAATTTCTGCTTGATCTAAACCGAGAATTTGAAGAGCCGTGCTTATTTCTTGCCAGAAGGAGGAGAAAGATGTCGCATCTACACCGGTGGAAGTCACGTGACCATATAGCTTATTCCGAAAGAACTTAACGCGAGCAAGGTTAGCCTCAAGAGAGTTGTCACCAGGGGATGGCTTAGCATGCCAGCCTGATGCTGGAGGGGATAAACCACAAATGTTGGTTAGTAGAAGGAAAAGAAGAGTGATATCAAAGTTAAAAGAGTTTGGTGTCCCTCCACCTGGTGGTGGAAACAGTTTGTCCCATTGACTACCATTCAGAATTTTTCTATGCCGAAGTCTAGTAAGAATGGAATGAATATGTGTGGAACTAAGATTAGCAGCCAAGTTGGCAGGAGGGTGATGGGAATCGAAAATATTCCTCAGCACTGTTGTTCCGCCATCGATGAGAAGCCTGCTTAGCTTGTTTCCATTTGTCTTCTCTCTTTAGCTGGCAAGGGGTGACGGTGCTGCAGTCGTCATTGAGCAACCTCAGTGCAGGAGAAAATGTTTAAGTCTTGAAAATTCGTTCTTAACCTACGTTGGCAAGAATAAAGATAAACGTGAGTCACACCTGTCCACAACCATCAACTCGCTCCGTCATTATTATCATTTGTTTTGTTTATTTTCATGATTACAAGACCATGAAACTGACAATCATGTGAGTAAGTCTGGAATAACTATTATCAGAATTAGAACCAATGCCTTCAAGAAAGGTGTTTAACACATTAGCTGTCATTGGTATTTAGTCAACGTAACAGCTAGATTTACGATTGTGGACGATTTGAGTTGCTTAACTGAGCGTACTAGCATACATGATCCAAGAGCAAATGAGGTCTCAAAGCCCCTCTTCACTAGATATAAGGGAGTAATAGTTGTTTTAATTACAAGAGACACGGCTTTCTCTTTGTGCATAAAAGCAAAACTTAAGGCATAAATAGTTTGGAAATCATTTATTGCCAGGTCGTTCGTCAGAACCAAGCATTATACCAGATTATACATTATCGGGTTTCTCTCTTGAAGCAAACTGAATGGTCATTGAATTTCAAAGAGAACGATATATATAGTGCAAAGAATAATCTAGCTAAGCAACACAACACCGACGTGCAAAACAAATGTGGAAACTGAAGACAACGCAGGCATGGGCCTCAGCAATTTTCTCATATCTGCGACATTCAATATGAAACTTAAATGAGAACACGTAATCATATTGCCTGTAGTCATCATTTTCAATGTTGAAGTACGGTAATCCATATTGCAGATATTGAAGCTATGATTTAGCTTTCACCGGCCTTATAAGTCATCATTATTTTGCTATGTACACTCAAAATCGATATGACCACTGGGTTTTCGTTTTTGCTAATTCTTCACAAGTTTTCTGACAAACGCGCTGCTTGTTGATGTGTTGTTCCCAAAAAGCAGAAGAGCCGTGTTGTGTCATATCCCGCGTCATATAAAACGCTGTCATATAATGGCTACGGCTGGGTTAACAACCGTGTCAGCTCAGTTTCGAAGCGCACCATACGTTACGTTTATCGACGAGTTTAACAGCAAAAGGAAAAGCTAAGAAAAGCATAAACTTGTAGACATCTTCAATACACAAAAAAACCGGGGGTCTCCGGCCTGGTTTCTTGAAGGCGGAAATATTAAGACATGTCTTCTAACTAGGATCGCAAAGAAAGCAAAGAATATTCTTTCGCTCGATATTTTCAATTTTGGTCATGACTTCTACTTATCGAGCACATGAGCTAACGGCGACAGAAAGCTTGGGTCATTATAACTTTCACTGAGCAATTCGCTAGAAGCTAATAGAGCTTAACAGCCGGGAGATTTAAGACCAATTGTAATATCTGCTTATGACTATTCTTGTTCATTAGTTCTCACGCTCTCTGCTGAAGATGTTCTAGAAACTCTGAAAGGTCTGAAACTTACAAGATGTTGGCGTCGATCGGAAGTTTTTTCAGAATCCCAAACGTAACAGAAGTAATCTAAACAAAACTGCACTACATTGTGAAAGTCAAACATCGAGGTGGATACATTTAAATGCGCTGCGAAACGATCTGTGGCGTACACAAGGCCCTGAAGCTATTTTTGTTTAACGTACCTCTCTGCTGCCACATTCTCTAGCGAAGCCTCTTCAGTGTAGATCCCTGGACATGTTTCATAAAGAATCAAAGTGTTCTAAACAGCGCGGTCCATCGATTAATCTAAAATTTAGGTCGAAAACTTTACGATTAGAAAAACGAAGGCAATGCCATCGGCTCCTGGTGCCATTTTTTTTTTTTGCATCGGTGAGCACCAATCGAGAGGCGCTTATTTATAACTTAGCAAATGGGAGAAAAGAGAGAAAAGGGCGCACGAGGGAGGCACACAGTCTATCTCATTCCCTTAAACAGAACCAGGAGCCGATTACGGCTCCTGACAAAAAAAAAAAGAAAAAAGAAAAGAAAAGAAACAACTGCAACAACAGTCAATCACTAGTGTGCATAACAGACGTCAAAAGGGGTAGAGGATAGGGAAGAAGGGAAAAAAGGAGGGGGATTGGGGCGAGAGGACGTTTCTCCCTCCCCTCCCCCTCCCCTTTTTGCGCCTGTCACGCCTGACTCAAGAGCTTCAATTAACTCTGGCAACCAAGCCTCTTAGTGGGTTCGTTGAAATTTTCATTTTTTAAGAGAATTTGTGAGAACAAGGGAAATACATTCTAAATTCCACTTTTGAAAAAGATTCGAAATAAAAATGACTCATTGTCTCGACATAGTGACATAGTTGTGCCCTATGTTTTACAGTCAGTTCGCTTTTAAAGGCATTTCGAAGTGCTTTGGCGAGTTTAGACTTCGAGATGTTTTAAAAAAGAGGAATTTAGAACGTATTTCCTTTGTTCTAAATTATTCTCTCATAAAAATCAAATTCCAACTATCTTTGGGCTCCTGCCATAGTTCCTCTGCCAGCGACAAAAATGTACCCATCTCCACCCCTACAAACAGCAAAATAGCCAGCGAAAAACAACATCCGTCCCCATCGGCGAAGAGCGAGGAGAAACGGATGTTTCCGCAGGCTATAGTTCCAGTTTCCTTCGTCCGATCGTTCTCCGTTCACGATGCCCGTTGATAACAAGAGAATTGCAGGTCCTGAAATAACGCAGCCAGTTGTTCTGAGAGAAGGAAAACGCCTTCGAAAACTTCTGGTAACCTCGAACGTGTTTTTTGTATGATTTAGTGTCTAGAAGGTGTTAAATTGAAGAGCCTTTGTTGTAGATCAGCAGCGAGGGTCAGCCACAAGATGGCCGCAAAGCGGACGAGCTGCGTCCCATGTGTAAGTTGCTTTGTTCTCTTTGAACATCATTTATTAAAGTTTGAAAACAAGTTAACTTTAAAATTTTTTAAAGTCTACTTTATGGACATTAAACGCAAAATTGAATCAACACAACTAAAATCAGAAATTTGTTCTTTGTTGCATAGTTTTAATTTAAAAAAAATTAAAATAGAATATTAGACTCGACTATCAGCTGCTGATCGGGAAATAAGCCCTCGCTCCTCTCTCGAGCAGTGTCAGTGTCAGTGTCAGCGATAGAGTGGCCGAAGTCGAGCCTAATAAGCTATATGATAGGGAAGTTTTGTCCAGTTTTTCTGACTATAATGTACATGTACGACTGACTTAGATTTCCATTTTCTTTTTTTTCCAGTTTTGCGGTCAGGAGTGGTAAGTCAAGCAAGGGGATCAGCCTACATTGAGATGCAAAGAACCAAGGTTACATGTGCAGTGTATCCTATATATATCCTATCGAATATTGGCTTCTTAAGGCTTCTACTGATAAAACTGTCACTTGACCATATAAAAAGTGTGGAATAATTATTTTAGAGCTTTCCTCAGGACCCTTAGACCCATAGACCATGAGACATAAGAAAGGACCTAAAGACTTTTTGAAAGGCAGTATTTTGTCCCTAAATGTCATTTTGCCTGCATGTGCCAGTTTGACTTAAACAGAAGCTCAGATATGGCCCTAGAGAGTCGTCAAGACAACAAGAATTTAGTCTAAAGGTACAACTGGTAGTAGATAATGTTATATTCTTCAAAGTTTAAACTTATTCTTTATGTGAAAATTTAACGAAATTAATGATACTTATATATTAAAGATGGTGATTTCTTGGACGTACATTTGTTTTTTAATCAGGATAAAAAGTTTAAAATTGACATGAGAATGAATTATCTTCCGAGGCAGTCCATGTCTTCTTTATTAGGGGAAACTCACTTGTGAATTTAAATTTGCACCATTTTCTTGCTGGCAGAGAAGACAGCATATGCAGGTACTGACTGGGTACATTCACTTCTTTCCATTTTACTTTTGATGTTGTGGTTCACTTTTTTTTCTGTACAATTCTGAAATAAGTGTGATTTTATTTGATGTCTTAGAAATGTGATGGTGAATTTTAAGCTTGGTGAATACAGAAGAGATCACATTAAGTGTCCAGTGGCACAATGTTGTTGTTGTTGTTGTTTTTTTTTCTGGTTATACGATCATGCACATGAGCACACATCAACATTCCAGAGCTAGCAGCTTGCAGGATGTTTGACACATGAACCTAGTATGGAGGTCCTAGCTTCCACAAGTCTCATGTAGTGGTGGAGCATCTGGACTATAGTAGCCAGAGGGTCTCCTCATTTGGAGAACTCAGATTTTTTTCTTCTGAGCAGCCTACTGTCACTGACTGAATAAACATCTCTAAAATAGATATTATATAGATGGAGGAATGCTTATTGTGGTCCCATCAATCATGGCAAAGATTAGGCCATTCAAGCAAGCCACAAAACCATAAAACCACAAAATTAAAGTGTAAGCTTGCAGTGTAATTTTCTCATGCCCAATGTTTTCGTCAGGATTCAGAAGAGAAAGAATTTTCCTCTTTTGTTGTGCAAGCCTTGGAGCCAGCTGTTTGCCTGGTAAGATTAATTTTTATACTGGTGTTTGTGGTTTAATATGTTTTGTTTTTAAGAGGAAGATAAATAATGAAAGGCAAGGTGGTAGTGAAAATTTCCTGAGCAAAAAAATTAGTAAAGCCCAAACCTGAAACAGTCAAATTTTGCACATGGCTATAAAATGAATAAATTTTACAATAATTATTACATCCAGCTCTAAAATTACCTA